CCGGTCCGCGGACCGGGGGTTGGGGACCACTGGTGTAGGGTTTCCAGCCTAAGCAGGGGGTTGGACTAGAAGCTCTCCAAGGTCCCTTCCAACTCTTCTCTTCTCTTCTCTTCTATTCTAAATCTCATATATTAATTACTGGATTGAATCCAGACTTGAAGAAGTGACTGTTAGAATCTGTGTTTTGTTATATTTCAGAAGCCTTGGCAAAAGACAATAAAGAAAATAATGACGATACCTGGTCTGCCTATGATGAGCACAAGGCTTTGCATGTTCTTCAACACTGGGATGAAATGCCTGAGTATGGGTGCAAATTAGTACCAGAACATGTGGAAGTTCGATCTATTTACAATCCAGATAACCCCGGTATTCTCCAGGTAAAGCAGAAAGTTGATTTATACATACTATAGCACTGTTATATTTTGTGTTCAACATTTGTATCTGTAACATAGCAGCTGCTCCCTGCAAATATTTGTAGGAACACATGCATGGTCTGCTGCTGTTGAATGAGGTCCTCTCTAACACATGCCTTGTGTTATGGGATTTCAACTTCCATAATAACCCTCTGAGGAACGAAGGCTGCTCTAGTACAATCATAGCAATATGGGTTGATACGGTTGCTCTGGCCAAGTCAAGCTCAGTTCCTGGTGTCTTTATAGATATGGCAGTATACGCATAATTATAAATATGGTTTGCCATTATCTTCTTCCTGGGTGGTTCCCCCACCCCACCCCCAATTTTGCTATCTATCGGACAGCTCATTGTCTTAATCTCTCTTCACACCAGAATTCCCAAGTTGCAGTGTAAAAAAAAAACAGATGCATGGAGTAATACCAAGCAACTTAGTCTATTGACCAACAAAGGAGAGAACATTGCCAAGTGACTTTTTGTTGTTCTTGTTTCTCCAGGGTTCTCTCCACATGTGGATTGACATGTTTCCAAATGATGTCCCTGCACCACCACCTGTCAACATCAAACCACGACTTCCAATCAGGTAGAGAGGAACCTCTGTGAACAGGAATCCGAATCTATATTTATTTTACCATTATAGAATTTGTTTTGTATATTGTGCACTGGGTAAAGATTTGTGACTTGAAATTCTCTGATGCTGCAAATATCTAACCTTTTATCTACTTTCCAACTGCAAATTGCATCTGGTTGTATATGAGTAAAAAGTGCATTTAATATTCTGGAAAACAGTAATTTCATCTGGATGCCTTTTCAAGTGGAAAAATGCACGCTTGTGGATAATATGCTGTTAAGAATAGAAGGTAATATATGTATAATAAAGCAAGAGGAATATGCAGCTGTATCTTGCCTCAGAATTAATGGAGTGACTAACAGGCTACAGCCAAATTTAGATTCACTCAATATATGAAAAGAATCTGTAATTCTAATATGGAAACCATGGAAATCACATTGAATGTATGTTATTTTAGCATTAAACCAAATGCAGAGAATCTGCAATTACTGTAAGGATTTGTTTGTCAAAGAGGCCTTTTTGGGCCAAGAACCCTGACAAGGGGCTTCACTGCCCCCCATCTTGTATGTATCTTTGCAATTAATTAACAGATCAACCAACAAATTACTCAGGATTTGCAAGAAAATCATTATTGTCTTTGGTTTTTCTTCTTCTTTCCCAGTTATGAACTACGTGTCATTATCTGGAATACAGATGACGTGATTCTTGATGACGTCAATCCAATAACAGGAGAAATTTCCAGTGACATATATGTCAAAAGGTGCATTTGCTGGGATAGGTTAAAACAACCAGGAATCTGTCCCTGGGCCATCCTTTCTGTTTTATTAAATGTGCAAATTGGACTTTAATAGATTGCATTTGTATGTGGAAGGTTAATTCCTAATTATCTTGAAACAAATTCCTCTTGCCACATGGTTTCTTTTGTTGGGTTTTTAAAGAAACAGCACTTTGTATCATGTGAATTTTAGCCCACTCTCAATTTGTGGATTTTTCCTTGCTATTTGGGACTTAATCAACAACAGTTTATCTGAGCAACCGTCTCTTGACAGTCACATTTACCTGACCCACTAGAGCAGGGAGACAAGGAATGTTATGGGTCCCATCCCCTAGGGCAGTGATGGCGAACCTATGACAAGCGTGTCAGTGCTGACACGCGTAGCCATTTGGGGTGACACGCACAGGATTTCATGCGATTCATCCTTGG